AGTTCCACCCCTAGCATTGCAAAGGAAAAAAAAAACTCTATAAAACACATTAGTGACTATTAATGAGCTTGGACACAGATGGGTGAACATTGAAGAATATCACGTCCTGCACTGTAGCTATGGTTAAGTAGGAACAGCAGCTGTGATGCAATCTTAGGAACTGAAATTCATTGTTGGATTCTTCTACCTGCATTCTTTCTTATGAGAGGAAACCACCACGAAGTCAAAGTTAAAACCAGTGCGCACAGAATTAATTCTATTCAAATGTAATGAAAAGGATTCTATTTCCAAACACCAGATACTCTTCAAGTAGCAAAAATGTAGGCTGTGTCAGGCGAGATGTGTGTATGGCACACAGGAGCATGGGGTAGCAAGTGTGCGGCATGTGTGTTGTCTTACCTTGCTTAGCCACAACCAAACCACCTCCCTCCTATTTCAGTGGGAAACATTCTAATACTCTCTGTCAGACATCAAAACTTCCCAGAGAAGACAGATGCTCACTTGGGACTGCAAACTAAGACCCAGAAGGAGACCACAGTTTTATGCAGATGGAAGGCATAATTGTAATTCCCACTGGGAAGGCTCAGAATCCCCTGTTGGTTTAATGATCTGGTGTCACTGCCAATCTAGCTGAAAATCTCTATGCAGAGATGACAAAGGACATGCATCACACACACGCGTGCACGCACACACACACACACGCCTGCCCTTGCTGCACACAAGGCCAGTTAATGAATGCACTGCAGCCAAGAAGCGATCCCCCTACCAAAGTCTTCTCTACACAAACCTCCTGACAACTGCCACCATTTCCACCACTGGCCTCCACTATGAACCTCATTTTCCATTCTTGCTGGTATCCCTGTCCTAGATGGAAACTCAGAAAACCACCTAAAACTGACCTAATCATCAAAAATAACTCCATCTATTGAAGGGGTAGAATTAGTCTACTGATACAAGAAATGTAAATGGTTTTAATATTATTATCTACTAGATGTTGCTTTAGATGAAAGATAAACTATTCAATGGGCTCAGAAGGCTAAATTGAATTATGCTTTCATTTCCATCCCAGTGACTGATGTTGGGAGGCAGTGCCAGTGACCTGGTCAGTAAGGTGGTATTACACTAGTGGACCTGGGGCTCAGACCCTAGGTCTAAAATGAATCATCATCTTGACAAAGCAGCTTCCTGCCATATGAACTATGTATCACCCAGCGATCCCAATTCCTGCCCGCACCCAGGCCTCTGCACTGCCTGGACAATGAGCCTCACATGGTACTGTACTACAAGGTTGAGGGTGAAAGTGAGGGTTTCCCCTCCTGTTCCTGCACCTCACAATCACATGATCACATGTGCTATGTTATTTATTATTCCAGTAAGTAGGAACTTTATGTGTGAGATTATTAGTCTAGAATTTTTGTAAGATGCTGAGATTGATTTTTTAAAAGAAAAAATTTAGTCTTGACAGTGCCAATTGAACTAGAAATGTTATTACCAGGCCACTAGTTTGTAAGAATTAATTCAGCACAGAAAAATATGGAACAGGACAAACGTCTTATCACTCAAGGTTTCCTTTAAAAATTATTTTCACTACATTTGACTTCCATCGTGGTTTTTGGCTTTTGTTATTTTTAGCTCATTTGTGCTTTATTCACATTCATATAGAACAGAGGGTAGAAAAATGCCCACTCTTATAGTTTATTATTCAACTGGGCATTTAATGAAATATTGAGTTGTCCTATAAACATATATATCAAAGGTGAAAGCTGCGTTGAACTTGAAGGATTGGTTCCTGTTGGTCATGAATTGAAATGGTTACTCTCACTCCCCTAAAGCCACTTCCTCTTGTACACACAGAAGTTCTTTGTCTTAAGCTATTATGTTTTGGAATTTAATTTGCTCTCCCAAACAACATATTACAAATGCAGAAGTATGTGTACTGGAAGTTTCAGTGTCTTGAAATGGGAATGTAGGGTGATTCATGAGTGTTGTTTCAATTATTAAACAATCCCAGATGAAGATACGTAGAGATGGATGGGGCAGTAAGGTATTCCAGCTACATCTACCAGTTTAGTGATGATAAATGAGTCAGGAAACATGAAAGTTCAAAACAGGTATTAACTTGAGCTGCAGCAGCACATGCTGTGAAGGTGAAGGTAGACGGCAGCCTGATATAAACAACCTCATATAGAGACCAGCTGGCTGGTAGAGTTAAAAGAAAGGGAAGGCCTCCAAGAACACTTAGGAATTTCAGAATCCAGCTAGGCCATTCTTTCTCTTAACAGGTTCTTTTTTTTTCACCGAGCTGCACCCTCAGTCTTCTAATTTTTTTTTTTTTTAATTTTGAGTCACAGTCTTACGGTATCGCAAAGTTCCTGAGGCTAGGCTCAAATTTGCAGTCTTCCTGCCTTAGCCTCCCAGAGTACTGAAATTACAGGCATGTGGCACTATATCCAGTTCTTGCAAAATTATTGAGGGAGATGTGGCACTGAAGGATAGTAATACTTAGAAAACGAATTCATAAGCATGTAAGTCAAAGGTGAAAGCTCCATTTGGACCATACTTAATATTCTATAATGCAAAGTGTTAGTAATACTGGCTAGGATTGTGTGGTTTAGAAGTGAGTATGAAGCCTTTCTTTGACCTTAGTGAATCTTAAGAGCAGATTGAAGACATTTTCAGAATTTAATCAGGACAGTGTATCTGTTATCCCAAGAAAAGCAAGTTTTGCTTCATTTCTTGGCAACTGAGCCTCGGGTTCACATTGGAAAATGCTACTTAACTCTTTCTCTGATACCCCTCTTCACCAAAATGAAAGGCCCATTTTTTTGTTCTAAGAATAAACGAAATGAATCAAAGAGCCCTGTCGCTCACCCACAATGATAGAGCTCTGTGTGAACGTTGGAAAGGCACAAACCACACACAGGCAGAATCTTAAAATTGAGCCCTAGTGCATAAGCACAGCACTGGTAACCCCAAGACTAGTCTCCGCATCAGCCTGCAGTGCTCACTTTCTTGGAAGTGTTAGTGCTTAAGAAATTTGAGAGCCTTGACTCATCCCTAGATACTTGACAGAGCTTGAAAGTGAAAAGAAGCAGCCCACCAGGCTCAGGTTCTATCCAGGGCAGGAGTCTATGCTTAGCCCTTTGCTATTCACTCACTGGAAAGCAGAAACTAGCAACTCATGCAAGAAGTATACCCTAGCACTCTGTGCTTTGAAGGCAGGACCCTGCCCCCCCAGCACTGCACATACTAAGCCACGCTCTCTCCTCCATATGTAAGACTGATTGCTTTCCTAGCCACTCCAGAGCTGGTTACTCTCCAATTCCCAGGCACTGCTTAGATAAGCAGGCCTGCTAAAGTTGTATCCCTTCCTTTGTGTTGTCTCCTTAAGCTTACTTCACTGCCAAAGTCTTCCTGAGAAAATGGACTTGATTTCTAGTTTAGATCATGAATAAATAATGCAGCAGCCAGTTGCTCATAGACTGTATTCAATGCAGAAACAAGATAGCTTTCGTAATCATGATGTTGAAAATATTAGTCTCCATAATATAAAATATAAGAGAGTTTTGCATATAATCTACACACCTAGCTGCTGCTCCAAAAACAAAAAAAAAAAAAGAGAACCTTAGAAAATGCAATATTTCATGGTTCACAGCCTTTTCAGTATGCCCGGATTACTTCATCCATGTTATTCTGTGCCTGCGTAGGAGTTGGGTCTGCTACCTGTGGGGCACATCATCTAAGAGGCCAGAATTGATCTGTAAATGTGCTTCAGTTGCAAGTGACTGAGGCTCATGCCTTATTAGTTTGACTTCTGCACAAAGGTTGACCATTAGGAGGAGTTTATATGTGGAAAAAGATAGCTATATGTAGAGAATTTTACACTGCCTATCTGAATAAATCAAGTATACCAGGAAAACCCTGAACAGGTAATATAAAAGTAAGATTGGAGATTTCAATTATTCAGGGATAATTGCCTTACTTTTCCACCCCCCTATCTCCCCTTTGCTTTCCTTATATAGACATAATCTTCAGAATATTCCTCAGTCAAAGACCATAGTCATAATTCCTTTGCTTCTCTTTCTTCTTTTCTTTCTTTCTTTTTTTTACTCATTTGCACTCTTGGTAGCAATTGTTGGAGCCCTACAGGGGAATAATTGGGGAGAATTAACCTCTGACATTTTTCTAAAAATAGTCCTAATAAATCCCCATAGGTAATTTACCTGTCCATGTTCCTCTGGGAGTAACCCCCATCAAAAAAAGACTTGGCAGGCTGGCATTCCTTCAGCAATTATTTGGGATCCAAGTTACTGGCACTTGTGCCTTTTCTTCTTTTAGAAATACAGAGTAATGAGTGCCCTTTCCCCTGTGACCCCCTGACCTTTCTTTTCTCAGCACCCTTCTCCTGGACTTGGAATAAGTCCTTGCCTTTCCAGAAGGGTGTGCTGAGCTGCCACAAAAAAGGGAAGCATGGGTCAAACTGGAGCACTGTGGCATCTTTTCTTAAATTTCCAAGGGTCTCTGTCTACTCCAATTTTGGCACCAGAGTTCCAAGAGTCCTAACCCCACTTCATTTCAATTGTCAGCCCCAATTTGAATTACCGCAGTCGTGCCCAGTCTGTGGTCATCTGCTGGTGTTAAAGACAAGGAAAGACAAAAGGGTGGGTGAAGGGCTTGTGCTTAGCAGCCATTATCCAAGAAAACTGCTATTTCTCTGAGCCGTAAAGAAATTCGTTTTCCTGAACAAAAAGGTCCAAGCATGCTTTTCCCTTTTGTTATCTCCAGATGTTCTAAGAGAACACGGTGCAATGTGGGCATCCAGGAAATTTACTGTCCCAAGGGCCACTCCTTGTGGCATTTAAAATACAGGACAGAAAATCCTTGTAAATTCCACTGCACAAAGCTCTAAGCCCTTAAATGCATGGAAAAGTATATCTATTATCTATCCTTTCAAAGTAAGTGTGCAGTTACTTAAATTGCCTTTGTCTTCTTCTTTTCAGCTGACATTATCTCTACGGTAGAATTCAACCACACAGGAGAATTACTAGCGACAGGGGACAAGGGGGGTCGGGTTGTAATATTTCAACGAGAGCAGGAGGTAAGTGGCAGTGAATACAAAATGCCCATTTTCTTCTCTTTTTAAAGGAGGACTCCTACTGTTCCTTAATCCTCATGTGTCTGCCTTAACCTGCTGCTTTGTTCATGAACTTAAAACTGCCAAAAAGTCATCAGCGTTACTAGCTCCACACTCAGGCTCACAAAAGCATCCTAGAAAGGGTTTTGTTTCTACACATGGCCTTATCTTCCCAAACCTGGATAGTACGCATTCAAAAGGATTTTATTTCTCATCTGACCTGCAAAATTTCACAGGTGCTTATTGAGCATAGCTCTGCCTTTTGGATTGCAATGTGTCCTCAGTCTATAGTGATTCAGTCTCCCTCAATGTCAGGTATGGCCAGAATATGCAGGAGAGAAAAAAGTAGCTTTATTTGCCAACCCATGTGAAGAGGACAAATTGAGTTGGGAGAGAAGAAAGTGATAGCTCACCCTCCCACCCAGAGAGGAGTTCCCCAAAGTGACATCTCACCAGAGGTATACAGCAGACATGTTAGCGTAGGGGACATGCAGTTCCCAGAAGCCGAGTGCTATATGTGGCATGATTTCTGAGCATGAGCTCTAACTTCTAGTGACTCTCAAAAAGCCATGACTTGAGTTCCACTAGGAGTTGTTTCTCTTTTTCATATAAATTGGGTTTTTTGGGGGGTGTCTGCTTCTGTTTTTGTCAGAATGAAATTATGGCCCAATTTGATTTCGTTGTCCTCCCCTGGCACGGTCGTGGAGCCTCCAGCAGGCTGGTCTGTGTTCTAGTAAGTCTCCCATCTGCCACTGCCTGCCTCTGAGATTCACAGGGCACTAGGGAAGCTAGAGGGAGGCCGGGTCTAAGAGGAAGGCTTCACAAGAGACTTCCCTAGCAATTTAATGCCTGCTTTGTGCCTCAAAGCCATTTGCATTACACCTCCCCTCAAAAAAGGAAAGCCTCATTTAGAGGTGATATATTTGGTAATTGCACATTATTTGCAATTAATTTCTATAAGGGCATCCTAATCCCTCGAGGTTCTGTATAAATTCAAGTGTTCAGCATTAAATCAGGCACCCAGCCTACTGCATTGGCCCTGGAAATGTGAAAATGTGGTTGGCAAGTAGGAACTAATAGCTCTTCGTGACCTGGAATTTTTCCTGCTTTTCCAGAGCTTCCTGGTGCTAATTGGTCTGGCACATACTACACACATTTGACAGTCTGATTTGGATGGTAGCAAATCAACACTTATAAATTTATTGTTAAGGTGGGCTGGTACTCTGCGCAAGAGAGCAGGGTAGTAGCAGCTACAACGGCAACGTTTAAAGTCCTGTGAAAACTAATTTTTTCAAACCTTCTCTGATTTAAAAAAAAAAAAAATCCAATTAGGTTCACAGTGATGATAAAGAGGAACCCGAGGAGCTATTTAGCATAAATTACCCAAGACAGCATGTTGCCGGTAATATTCCACCCCACATTTTCTGTTAGCTATTTATAGGTTTCACCCATTTTAATTGACAGAAATATTTGAGAAGTCTGATTCATTAGTAGAATGGTGGGGGACACGTTTTCCAAAGTAAGGTGATGGCGTTTGCTGGAAAATAAATGTGGATGAGTATAAAGAACGTGCAGTTAAGTGTTGGGCTTGGTAAGGAATTTGGGGATTAAAATATAGGCTGAGCCACACCAACAAAGCCATGTGACATCACTTTGAAGGAGGCCTGCTTTTGACTTTTGTGGGTGGACTCTGCACGTGACTTTCAAGGAGCACAGTCCCAGAGTGGCCGCTTCTAGAACTCTCCGTGGCAGGACAGAAGCTTTAGTCGGAATAGCTCTTCACACCTGGGTCTAGCATCACTATCCACTGCTAAGTTGAGATGCGGCCCTGGGCGTTCTGTATCACCAAGGACCATTTCTTAAACCTCTTCTTAAAAGACAAGCCTTGGGCTGGGGATATAGCTCAGCAGTTTAAGCACCTGCCTGGCAAGCACAAGGTCCTGAGTTCGATCCCCAGTACAAAAAAAAAAAAAAAAAGACAACCCTTTATAACAAATGTTTAATAAGACCCTGGCTTGAAATTGTGAACAGTTCTCCAAAGCCTGAATCTCAAATTCTTGGAATGATCCAAAACACCTTGCATAAATCCTTCCTGCCCTTTTCCTTCTTCTTCTCACTGTAGCAACCCCCTTTTCCTCCTATTGCTCTTCTTTTTCTTTCTCTTGGCTCTTCCTCCTGTCCCTTGGCCTTGTGTTTCATTCTCTCCTCGTTTATTTAATTCCTGCTGTTTGCATTTTGCATAATCAGCGCTGGGGGAAGCCTGAGGTGAAGTCTCATCATTCTCTTAAAGATGCAGATGGCACCTCTGTGCTCCTGTCTGCTTTGAGACTCACTGGAAGAAAGGGAGGGCACAGTGCCCAAATCTGCTCTTTGTGAACTATGTGACCTAAGAAGGTCATTTACTATCTGACCCTCATTTACCTATATGCCTGTCCTGTCCACGACCTCTCAGAAATTTTGTATGAGGATCAGATAAGATATTAACAGGCCAATGGCCATAAAGTAAAAGATGGTAAAACTTGCAATTCCTACAACTTTGTACTTTTCAAAAAGGGGGGAGGAGGATTGATATAAGTATTTGTGGGCTTCTCTTGAGATATCTCACTCAAAATATCTGACTTGAGATACAGGAGGCATTTGTTGGGGTACACAAAACCTTAGACTCTGTTTATATCAATTTTAAAGTCTTGCCCCGTATTCACTTCTCTTTCTATATACATGATGATCATATGTTAGTGCAGAAGTTCGTGTATTTAACTTATAAGTAAGCGCATGTGTACTGCAGATACCAACATTTACCAGCAGGATGAGTGGTCCAGCTTCAGAGACTGTCTTGGCCGTGGCCTCGTCCCAGTATGACACAGCATCCCCTGCCCACCCTTAATGACTCTGTGCAAAGAAAAAAAATTGGTGAGTTTGAAATTGGCTTCTATGACTTAACCTTTTGTGTAATTTTCCCTTCCTACAGAGTAAAAATCAAGTTCATCGTAGGGGTGAATACAATGTTTACAGCACATTCCAGAGCCATGAACCCGAATTCGATTACCTGAAGAGTTTAGAAATAGAAGAAAAAATCAATAAAATAAGATGGCTCCCTCAGCAGAATGCAGCTTACTTTCTTCTGTCTACTAATGGTATGTGGGGGTGATTTTTCCTGTTTGACATTTTCAGAGATATAGTCAGCCAACCATATATGTCAATCTCTCTCAGACTCAATTTTCTTCTATACCTTGTGGGCTCTTGAGGATAAGTTCCACAATTGCTACAATTGCAAGATGCAGAGAAGCCCCTGGCACACACAGAGTAGGCCTTCAGTAAATAATAGCAATTCTTCTTGTAAATACCAAATTTATGATGCAACTATATGAAACTCATTGTCTGTAGTTTTCAACTAATGTAGACTATTTGCAGGTGTTTTATCAAATGTGACTTCCTGTCTTAAGATTCACAGAATGTTATTCTGGGAATACATTTCAGGAAACTCGACATGCTCTCCCTGTGAGTTTGGCATATGGAATAGAGGTTATTAATCCCTGCATATATTTTAGGGTCTGGAAAGCAGATGGTTGTGTGTCATCTGAGGAAATCAAATTCTAAGCTGGGAGCATAAAGAATAGGGACACTGCTTAAAAAAAATAATCAGAAAAGGGGTTGCTTCTGTCTCCCTCCAAACTCTTCTTTTACCATTTGAAGAATGGTAAGCTCTTCTTTTACCATTTAGGAAAAACTTGCTATAAATAGTTCATGAGCAAGAAGACTGAAAGTGCGTGGAAGGCCACACACCACATTCCCTCAGCACATGGAATTATCTGTCCTCTGGGTTATTCAGCACTTGCCTAAAATAAGTCATCTGTGCTCAAAATGATTTGAAATAAAGTCATCCATTAAAGGGTGCTAATTGGCTAGCATAACAAGAGGAATATTATATAGAAATTAAACACTACTTCCCAAGCAAATAAGTGAGGAAGCAATTCATTTCATCTTGTGTGCAAGTCTATGAGGAGTATACACTTCAATAAAATCAAAAAACAAACAATTCATATTTTACCTATAACCCACACTTAAAGGTGGGTATAGTTTAAATATAGGTCTAGTTAAAAATTGCATATGATGTCTATAATGTGATCAAGCATGTTCTTTTTAAAGAATAGGAGGAAACACACTAAAAAGTTCACCATGATTAATTTTTCATCATGCATTATGAATGCCTTAAATATTTGATTCCTTATCATGTCAATTTTTAAAGTTTATACAGTGAGTCATATATTAACCTTATGAAAAATTGGGGAAATTTTAATGCACACAGCCCCCAAGTCCCTTAAATACGAACCCAGTGTACAAATGTAAAACATATCTGAAACCTAGTTATCCAGGAAAATCTCATCTCAACGTGACCAGATCTGTGCTCATCTGGTTTTCCAGATTCCAAGGAATTTAATTTTCTCGTAATTGTATTTGTTGTTTTGTTTAATCTATGAAGTCCTAATTTCTTGGAAACAAAAACACATGATTTTGTTGCAATTTCTTCCCTTTTAATTCTTGCTGTTCAGGTTTCATTCAAGAGCACTGTAGTTTCAGTACAACTTGGAATGAAAGAGAGGTCTGATGGTTTTGACTTAATTACTTCTGGCAGAGGAAAAGTGTCTGATTACCTTAGCTAGATTATGTTATATTATGAAATTTAGCCTATTGATTATTGCAATAAAATTCAGACTTATTAACTACTTTGTAGGGGGGATGGGAAGGAAAATGAAATGTAATGAAGATTAATTATATAGCATACTGTTCTGTTAATTGAGTTTTTAAATAGTTTTTTGATTAACAAAGATATTATCTTCCATTTGGGATGCTATTTCATATGCCAACAGCATCTCAAAATGATTTTTATAAGAAAAATTCTCATGATCTTATGTGAGTTTCTTTTTTATACTAATATTAAGGTTGAAGGTCTCTCCTATACCAAAAAGGGTAACACACAAAAATTAATGGGAGACAATTGCAATTGCTGTACAAAAGAGAAATGAAGATAAACTGTAAGGTCATGTTTAAAGCTACCTACCACAAGCAATGATAAACTACTAAGAGAATTAGCTAGAAGAAAGAAAAAGGCGTTCTCCATAGTAATAGCCACATATTAGTCTTCCCTATCCACACAGCCAGATCCTTAGTCTTCCCTATCCACAAAGCTTTAAGACACTGAGTCCAAAAAAATGGTGTGCTAATAAAGTCAAGAATGACTCCAAGCAATGCATCCCTGGGGAGTTGGATTGAATTCTCTGTCAATTATCTTTTTAAAAAAAAAATTGTGCTTGTCTCGTTATTAGGTGCACTTTTTACTTCCTGCTAAAATGTGTCCATCTTAATAACTTTTTAATGAAAAATAGCACTTACATTCAATTGTGAATCTAGACCTTGAAATTATTTATCATGTGAAATACATTGCTTTACCCAGCCTCCTACTTCAGCCTTTAAATCTATAACAAAAGATACGCTGAATTTGTTTTTCTTTTTATGAAAGCATGTATTCATTATAAAATTTTGGAAGATATAGAGAAGCAAAATGAAAATACTAAAGGTGTTCTAATCCAGATGGAATTACTATCAGTGTCTTTCAAAGAAAGGATACAAAGCATACAGATAGAAGATAAAATTCTATTATCTCGGTTAACAGAAGTGCAGTACAGTCTACAAACTATTTTGTAATCAGACTTTCAATAATATAACCCTTAGTAACAGAGCTATTTTCTTAATTTTTAAATTTTCTTCCAATTTTACGTAATATTTTCAATAATTGCATATTATTCCCTTTGATTTTTCATAGTTTATTAATAATTCTCCCACTAATGTACCTTTAGTGGTTAATAAATTATCTCTACTATAAATTCCAAAAATGATTTTATATGTAAAATTATATGGAACAAATTCCTATGAATATAGTTATAGGGATATATATTGGTATAGACAAATATCTAATATTAGGCAAAATACATTATCAAATGTGTAGCATATTTACTAAAAGAGCTACAAAATCATATAAATAAATACAAAAATATGCAAAAAAGTTTATAATAATTATCTCTTTATAGTAGAATTGAGGTAGGTTTTTGTTGTTGTTGCTTCTTTGGTTTTTTGAGACAGGATTCACCATGCGGTTCAGCCTGGCCCTCAACCCTCTATGTAGCTGACCCAAAGAGAGAAATATTTTTATCTTGTTGCTATTTTCACTTCCTAATTGCAAAAACATCTACTTTTCATATAAGAAGGGGGACATGATAAAAACTCAAAGTCTTTATATGCAAAATTATTATAGGTTTGCAATTGTCCCCAAAATAACTACAGGGAAAAAAACACAAGAATTTTTATAAAACGTCCACAATGGATTGTTCCTGACCAAAGGAATAATTTCGGTGATTATTATGCTTTGTGTTTCACTGTGATTTCTCTCTTTGTGTTAGCAATTTATCATTCATGATAAGAAAAATATAAAATAAAAACTGCCTTGCACATGGGATAGGGCACACTTCAAAGTGAAGCAACAGAAAACCTTTGATGTTAAAATTCACTGACACTCGGCTTGCTCCCAGCCACAGCTGATCCGAAGTTAATCAAGTGACTATAAATACGGTTCGTTCTCTCACCCTAAAAAATAACTTGGTGTGTAGCGGGATCTCCAGAGAGGGTGGGGCGAGAAGTGCTAGCATGAAGACAGATAGTTCTAAATTAATCCCACAGCTGGAAAAACATCTGCACCTCTTTCTCTCATCATAGGTCGGGGTGAGTACATGAGTGACAGTGTACAGATTGTGCACTTAGCGCCCTGCCGGGTAGGAGCAGACTCATCAGCCAAGTGACGCTCAGAGATTTGGAATTTGGGGTGCTAACCCAGTAAGGTAGTCCCCTTGCTCGTGAAAGGCCACAACAAGGTGCATTTAAGATTCCCAAGATGAGGTATTTCTCTCCACCAGATTTAGAGGATCAACACTGGGATCTTGCATCCCTTTACTTGAAATATCTGTCCTCCTAATGGCGAGAAGTTTAGAAGTAACTGTGTGGAGCCAAGAGAGGAGAAATGGACGAGTGAGATAAAAGGGCAAAGGAAATCCTATTACAGGCAGAGTGTAGGGGTGGCTTTGGTTGCCTGGCAGGACTACAGAGAAGAAAGAGGATGTGTGGCCATCCTCGTGGCGTGAGGCTAACACCATGAAAGCAACGTGTTATTATTGCAGAATAGCTGCTCATCTTGCAATTCTAATAGCAACTTCCCATTGGCGGATCATTGTTAGAAGCCCAACGTTGTGCTAAGCACTCTTCATGCTGTGATTCACTTAATTCAAGAGTCTTGTGAGGAATACAGCATTTTCCCCACCTTATAAGTAAAGAAACTGAGGCACAAAGTTACTGTCTTTACTTATAATGTTGAAATATATGGGCTATGCCTCTACTAAAAAATTATTTGTTGTTTACCTGAAGTGCAAATTTTAGTGGGAATTCTTTATTATTTTGGCTACTATAGGTAGTGATTTTATTTGTAATTCAAAAAATGCTAGTTTGATTCTCCTAGGCTTTCACAGAGAGCACATTGGCCAAGCAATGGCCATGACTCCTCCACATGACACTGACAAAGGTTCTACAATCTGAGGTACAGGATCTCAGGATAAATCCTGAGGGGATTTCACTGTATTATGGATTACTGGACTCTTTTAGAATATTTTTGCTGAGTTAACACACCTATAATATTCAAATAACGGAACTTAACAAAAAAAAGGGGGATACAGATGAATGTCCATTTTGTATGTGTGTATTCAAAATGGTTAGGATAGATATATAGTTACATTCTCTTAATGAATAGAGGGATTTCTTCTCAGACCCAAAAGCTACAACTTTTGTTGCATAGGTCCTGCTTTACCTTGGTCTTAACCATCCAGTAGAAAAGTAGAAAAACAAAATATAAGAAGTAAAGCAATACTGTTATGTTGAGCTGTAGGGGACTCAGGTCAACAATTTCTGACACTACCAGTGAAGTGGAAGACCCAATAGTATTATGGGCACTGGGGAGATAGCTCAGTAGAATAAGTGCTTGCTCAGTAAGCACAAAGCCCTGAGTTCAATCCCCGGTTCCACAAAAAAACAAAACAAAACCAATAGTATTATGGATTACTGGACTCTTTTAGAATATTTTGCTGAGTTAACAC